GGCGTCCGTCTCGGTTCTACGCGCACGTATACACGTGTACGCGTACGTATACGTGCAGCTCGCCGGGCAGAGATAATAGCGCGGGCTATGCGGATAGCGGGGATGAAAAACCGATTGCGAGCAGCTATCCGCGTCTACGATAAACGTCCTCCGGAAGCGCGGAACGTGGTCGCGACCGTTCGTTACATACCTAAAGTCCAAACTGTGATTTCGTTGATGGGTGGTCAGCCTGTTACGGTTGTTGATCGGCGGATTCGTCCGTCCGTGGACGAGAGGAACATTACAGCTGGCTAATTTATGCCGTTTGACGTGTGCCACGCTTTCCTGGCGTGTCGGTCCACCACTGGGTGTAACAGCCACTACTTCACTCATATTAAACTCGAACGAGCAACAGCTCGGCCAACAGTCATCTGCCGTTCATGTTGATCGTTCACCTACGGACGACAAAAGAAGAACGATCGAGACGATATCAAGAAAGAGAAAATCAAGAGCTTAAGCGACGACGAACGTTATCGGTGAAACGGTACGGACTCCGAAAAACCGCCTCGAGATGGATCGCGATAAGTCCAGCGAGATATTGACAACGCTTTATCGAAAACGCGACACGACGGCGAGACTCCCGAGGAGATTCTTAACGACTGCGATCGTTTTTCAAACGTTATGGAAATTTACGTCGTCGAAAGTCAACCGCGACGAACTCGCTGGAAATTGGAAATTGGGAATAGCAACTGGAAGTTCGACGAACGGTTCAACAAGTAATTTACCGGTCGTTTCGCGGCGATGGTAGCAGACGGAGACTCGCCACGCGTATTCGAGAACAATGAAATTTTGTCAAATGCGATCGTTCTCCCGCGTGAACCGAGGTTTACACGGACAAGTCCTAACCGATGCCTTTGCATGCACATGCGAGCATTGCTAATAAGTAGAAAGTTATCCGTTGTTACGACCGTATCGCGAAAACCAGCGTTTCCTATTAATCGCGTAGAAATTTAAATGTTCGCGTCGAATACGACCGAGTACTCGAACATTATTTTTATCGAACGATCATTCTTGACCGTTCGCGTACTTCGAAGAGTTCGATAAAACAGATAAAATTCTACTTTATTTGCATCCCCGATTCGTATCGGTGCCGTTTAATCGCACGGTTCGTCGAACGAGTGTAACAACGATCCATCGGCCTCGCCGATACGGCGATACGCCGGTAAGAACATCGGGTAACTGCATCGTATGCAAGGAGCGAATCGTACCGCACTCGAGAACGCGTTACCATTGAATTTCGCTGGTGACGCAAACGTCCGGATGAAAACTGGTCCGCGACAACGGCCGTCCCGGCTCTACCTGCACCGAAACCGTTTGGGAAGCAGCCCGGGCTTACTGTTTACAACCGCGCGAAAATATAATCGCGTGTATCGAACGTGCGCGGCGATATCGAAAATTCCATAACTCATTATCTCAGCGACGAGCAGCAAAACAGCGTTCTTGCGTCGGCGTTGTTGAGCCGATAATGCCGACAATAAATCACTGACCGCGCGCGCGCGCGCGCGCGGAAGTCGGGCGGATTTTCGATTCGAAATTCCAGGAGAGACGACAGACTCGCGTGAATCGCGAGGAAGAAAAAATCATTTTGCAACGCGGAACGACGACCAACATGGCAAAGCACGGCAAGGTAAGGCGGCACCGTGACAGGAGCGTGAAACTCGTGCTGTGCTAGGTACGAGAAAGTCGAATGCCTGTGCTAGCCCGAACAAAGCGAACGTCAGAATTTAGTTGCCCGCTCCTGGGACCACGCGCGCGTTTCAGCCGCCCCCGTCCCCATCCCCGTCCCTCTTCGTTTTCACGTTTCGAGGAAAACGGTAGACCACCCACCCTCGACGCCTCGCCCGGCTAATTATTTGGTTACTCTGTGGAAGACCTATCCCGAAGGGTTTCTCGCGAGCAATTTTTGACGAATGCGCGCGGTTCGAGGAAATACGATGACCTTGAAATATCCTGCAAGCATTCCGAACACTTTCTTCCGATAAATTTGCAGCTCTGCGACGTTGCCCTGAACGCGCTCAAGGCGATGCTCGAGAGCTCGATAAAGCAACGCTTTTACCAATCTTTTGGCAAAGAGCATAAAATGGAAAAAAAGCAACTGTCGAATGCGCGGATCTTCAAAAATTTGCACGAAGCTATCGCTGCTTTTTTTCGCCGCGTTAATTCCGCTCAACGTGCATGTCGCGGCAGCGTGTATACGCGAGCCAGCAGCCGTCGCTCATCTTCTGTTCCTATATTGTTGCATATGTACGTCGCGATGACCGACGGATGCTAAACACGCAACAGTTTTCCCCAACATCTCGAAAACAAAGGCGAACCGACGCTGAATGGAAGAGAAAAATTTTTGGAATTTTCATCCTTTACGACATATTAAAAAATCATCGAGATCCATGCAGTCATGCATAATTACGAAGACTTTTCGAACGTCGCGTTTTCTCAAAAAACTGGTAACAGCGCGTTAATTTTCCAAACTTCCCCCGATTTGTATTTCTTTCTAACGATAAGAGACGAAGAGTTCGAAAAGGAAACCGAGGACGAATAAGCGCGATTCGGGACAAAGTCGCTAAAGTGCAGGTTTCTTGGCTCTTTAACCGATAAACTATCGTTGTGCCTGCCAATGTTTTCAAGAAATTCACCGCGCGAGAACGCTTCGGTGGAGGTTCCAGCAGGCGCGACGAAACGACCCGACGGTCGTTCGGCAAGGGTTAAAGATGATCACTTTCTAGACGGAATTGTTTCGCTGTTATCGCAACCGAAATCGCGCGGAACGTCTTCCTTTCCCGCGAGATTAATCGGCCGCTCGACGCGGGGCCTCGAGTGAAATTCCCGGGAGAGGAATAATTCAATAAAGGTGGAAAATGGAGCGAAGTCTAAGGCTGCGGTATGCCGGCTTTTTACTCTCCCTCTTTGAACTCTAGAGGGTGGGGGAGAAGAGAGAAGAGGAGAGGAGAAGAGAGGAGAACAGAGGAGAGGAAAGGGGAGAGAGAGAGAGAGAGAGAGAGAGAGAGAGAGAGAGAGAGAGACTCGTCCTTCCGCTCGGCTCGAACTCACACGGTGGCCAGCCGTCGGCGCAGCGATGGGTGTGCCAGAAGCACAGAAACCAAGCACTGCCGCGACAGCCAATGGAATCCACACCCCCATAGATATTATGCCTCACCCTTGTTACATATTGCCGGCCGATAAAATCAATCGGACTCGGGAATCCCTTCGCGGACGGACGCGAGCGCATCGCCAACAACAGCCGCACGGATTGTCAATAACTCTTACCTCGTACTTGAATTCGTAACTTTGTTGCGATCGGAACTGCACCATGCGTGGATGTTCCTCGCTTTTGCCACCACAGCGCGTACAGAGTGGCACGGATGAGTAGGGTGTTACGGAATAAGACGCTAGAGAAAGAGAGGCAGGGAAAAAGGAGAGATAGAGATAGAGAGAGAGAGAGAGAGAAAGAGAAACAGAAAGATCGTGCGAGCGAGTGGGCAATAGAGAGACAAAGAGAGAGAGGGGAGGGAGAGAGAGAGAGAGAGAGAAAGGAGAACGACGATAGCGATGACGATGATGCAGCGAGACCAGCGAGTACGCGAAATGCCACTGGTGCGATAAAGATAACAAGATATCCTTTCCAATGGCAGATTCTGACTGTCACGCACCGCCTTGTCGTCCCTCGTTTTCACGCGATTTTCCACAATGACTGGCTACGCCCTGCACGTTCGCGCACAGAGTCACACTTCATCACTTTCGTTGGACTGCACCAAGATGGAACCGACACGAGTGCATCGATAAACAGGATTCTGTCGGTCGCGGAACAAGACCGAAAACACGCACCAAAAAATCTCCGTGTCAACGCAAAAGGCGACCTCGCCAAGCTCCACTGCTTTTCGCACGACGCACTGAATACTACTATGCGCACTACTGCCAACGGAACGGATGCAAAGTCCGGGCGGCCATTGATCAGTGCCGTACCGTGTCGCGCAAGGGCCTCGATCTTTAACATCGGATCTTGCTCTTTTTACGCGTTTCAACTGCTTCGAATTGTTTTGCCTGTACGTATTCCATTCCCTCGATTCGATCAACTAACGTACACTTTATATTCGCCGGACGTCGTTCGATAAACGCGTATGCGGTTTAATCGGAGCCACTTCCGATTCGAATGAAAATAAATGTTTGCGCTCGAGTTTTACGAAAAAAACGTATACATTATATAAACGCGTAGGAACGTATCGCGCGTATTACATCTGTAGAAAAAAAGTTGTTCGAAACGATAACCTCGACGATATATTTCAAATTCGCTGAAATCGGAGGTGGCTCTTTTAAGCCGCGCATGTATTTACCTGAATTTTAATTAAACTTTCCAACGAATAACGCTTCGGCGTCATGTTTAAGAATTTGCGAAACTTACAGTATAAGCGAGTCGGTGTCCGTTAAGAAACGTCGCGTTCCTCGCAATTCGGACGACGATCCAACGTGAACGGGAGAATCGGATTCAAATTTTTTCTCGAGTGTCGTCACTGCACGGCCTGTACTCGGCACGTCATAGGCATGTGCGTGGCAGCGGCAGCATGTGTGTTGATTTGATATTGTATCGTATCGTATCGTATCGTATCGTATTCGATCCAGACTGACAGTAGCAGTTGGCTGTTATTTACATCGACGCACTTTGTTGCTGCGAGCTGTCAGTGTCGCGAAAACCGAGCTGCGATAACGATGGAATGTAAATCGGCGCCTCTGGCGGACCTGCACCGGGCACCTTCCTCCTTTAGCTACCGTCATGTAAAATATAAAGCGAATGTCGCGGAGCACGCGTGTCGAATCGTGGGACAACGAATAACACGAGGAAAAGATAGAGAACGGTAGGTCGAAGATGGACTCTGCTCGTTTGTTTCTCGCCCGACGTTTAGCGAACGACTGGATCGGTCTTGGGCTCGCATTAGGTTGGCAGCATAGCGGCTGCCTTGACTCGGCTGCTCGAATGGGAAAGGTCGTACAACCGTAAGTGCAGCTGAACTCGACGCACCAATCTGGAGACGGGCGTTAGGACGATTAGGAATTTGCGGCACAGACGTATCTGCATACCATTCTACGCGAACAAGCACAAATACGAGGATGACGTATGTATGTAATTGTTGTCTGTAGCTTAACCTACATATTTTCTTTGTTCGCGCGCAACCTCTCGTCGACTATGTGTACGTACATAGTCCCCGATGTCGTGGGACAGCGATAACGTCGAAGACGGACGATTCACGATCCACGATTCTCTGCGAAGGAAGCGAACAAGGAAGAGAAGAAGAAGAAGAAGAAGAAGAAGGAAGTCGTTCCGGAGGATCTCCGATCTTCCCAATTTCTAAATCGAGGCACGGCAGGTGTCTTATCGTTCGCGCGCGTGCGATCAAGGTATTGTATGCAATATGACGTCGCGCGACATCGAACGATCACCCGGCACACGTACATACGTACTCTGCAACAACGACGAGTTCTGGTATCCACGAGTACGATAATTATAGGCCGATTAGAGACGAGCGCGGACTTCGGAACGATCGAGCATCAAACGGAAACCTATTCGCAGTCGCGCGATGACGAACGCTAAAGACGTTCCCGTTACGTCTAAAACGTTCTCGAACCCGTTCTTTCCATGCAACTATTCTTTTGCAACAGGCCGAATGCCCGTGAATCTTGGGGTAAAAGCGCATGGTCGATGGCTTCCTGTAATTTTATACGCTTTCTAACTGCGCTCAAAAGCGAGCAGCCTGCGTAAATGCGCGCGACTGTCGTCGGTCGTTCGACGGTCGCCGACGGTGGCCGATTTTCGTTGCTTCGCGAATTCTAAAATAACGATCTCCTCTCTCATTTTTCAAACGATTCTTCGCGACCGCCGCTTCGGCCTGTTCGTACGCGTCGCATCGCTGCGTGTTGGGTGGTTGCATGGTCGCGTGGTTGCGGTCATCGAGCGAGAGTGCACTTATTCATTGTTCGATCGAGGCCCGAGACTTCCGTCGTCCCGACGTATCAATGACAAACCGATGACGACTCGCGCCGGATACTTCCTCCGATTACTACTCTCGACCTCTCGACGTTCCACGAAACGACACGAGTCTGTTTCGTCTCATGCGCTTGGTATGCCAAGCTCGAGCGATCCAGATACATTAAAAACGTTACCCGATGTACTTGCAGCGAATAACAATGGAACCGTCCTCGTAGATGTTTCGTACAGACTCTCGGGTCAATTTATCCCAGGGTGTTCTTAGCGGTGTTCGCTTATATTTCAATTTCAATCGATATCGAATGTTTACTAGATTCGTTTTGGGCAGGAAACCGAGGCTTCGAAGTAGCAAAGAAAAATCTGTCGGCGGCGGTGCAATCGATAGCGGTCTCCCGCGGTGAGTCACACGAATTACTGCTCAATTATTGACTGCAAAGGTCCGATGGTGTGCCGAGATTTCTCGACGCGAGCCATCTTGCACCAAATTTTAACGGCACGCGTTCTCGACAACGACGACGATTATTCGTTCGAAAAGAGCTGAACGGGTGAGAAGAGGAGAGGAGTGGAGAGGAGAGGAGAGGAGAGGAAAGGACAAAGGGAAATATCGTGGAACAACGGATCCACGGGATGCGATAATGGTAAATAGAGGATAAGAAGCGTTTGTTTCGGATGAAAATGAAATCGTTTATCGTTAGTGTTGGCATCGACCCTGCGCGCGATATTGGCGCGACGCCCGCCAGCTCCGCAACGGAACTCCACAAACCCGCGGTTTATCGCGCGGATGATAACTATAACTGTAATTACAATTACAATTACGATTACAGGTGTCTGGTTAATTTCTGTCGCGCGATCGATTGCTCGCTACGAATCGCTGGGAAATCCAAGACGGCGTCGGGGCTGCGATCGATCGAGCAGGGAAACATCGAGAAGCGCCGAAGCTCCGTCCGTTCGCATCTGCGGGTCTTCCCCGAAGAATTAGTCGCTGGAAACGCGTCCGCCGATCGCTAAGTAGCTCGAAAGGTCGCGAAATAGCGCGATTTTCCACGTGCAAACGGTCCGTCGTGGCTCGCGAGGCTAAACGAGAATCCGGCTGAAAATCCTGCGCCGTTGCGATTATCGTTTCGTATTTCGTGCCGCCTTCGCACCGCAACATCCGAAATTACTGGTCGTTGCGTTTCGATCGTGCCGCCTCGATCGATCGAGATCTCAAAATTGCGAAGTTTCTGGCAGTTCGTTCGTCGCGGTCTTTCCTCGAATATATTTGCGATCGACATTGCCAAGCGTGATCGGGTGCATACTGGAAACTGTTGGGGAAACGGGATATTCGAACGGCCTATCGCCTATGCCGCACAGACCGGCGTGGCCCCTCTTCCTCGGGCCCCTTTCCCCTCTTTCTATGCACGGCGTCTCATGGTGTCGTACGGCATACGTCGCGCGAGGCACGCACACGCGTACGTATCGTACGTACGTACACGCAGCGACCATACGGCATACGGTATATGCCCACACCCAACGATGATACGCAATCACCTTAGCAGCGGTGCTCATAACGATCGGCTCGCGTGCTATCGGTACATTTGTCGATACCGCGCACTGGCGGCGTTGCTTTTTTTAAACCCGTGAAGGATTTTGCGGTCGCGTTACTCGGAAAAATATTCGACGGATATTCGAGGATTCGTGCAACCGATAGACCGTAATTGCTGCAACTATTGTAAGAAGCGATAGTCGTTGGGAATATCAATTCTTTCCTCCTTCGCAATCTCGTTGTTATTACGGAACAATGTGCGTCGATCGAAGACGCGTAGTCGGTAGTTCTATTAGATTCGAGTTCGCGACGTCCAACGAGTAGATGCATTTACGACAAAGCGCGTGGGAACAATTTGAAACGTTGGAGCGATTAAAAGAACTGCGACTCCTCTGGATGCGGACGATGCGCCGATTGCGCAAGGATCCACAGTCTAGCGGCGCGGTAACGCGTAACCTCCCTATCCGTACGCGACCAAAGGCAGTACGTATCCCGTGTACCGTTTATCGTTTGCACGAATGTTCGGATATCGAAGTTCTTGCCATAAAATCTACCGGTTTCCTTAAAAGCGCCTCGACCTCCAGCAACGAACAACGCGTCCAAGGTGTCGCGTCGCATCGGTTGGTCGACCTCTCGCAGGAACGTTTGAACTTTGAAGAGAAACCGCGCGAGACCGATAAATCCATATCGATGACCGAGCCCCTGTTTCCGCGTTCGACGATGTCGACATACCGCGACCCGGCGGCGGCGGCGGCGGCGGCGACGGCGGCAGCGACGCGACGCGCTGAATCTTGCGTGTCGCGGCTCGTAACCTTGACCTTCCTCGGCTCGCCAATTAGATTCAGGAGGTTTCTCGTTCCACGGAATTTAGTCGGCGCCGATTCGATCCGGGCCACGGAGAGCAACCGCAGTCCCGACGTCGACGGATCGGCAAAAAGGAACGTTTCGCTTCGCATTCCGACCACGACGTTCGCGCGTTCACGATCTTACGTAACGAGCTGCAAATTAAACGGAGACGTTTTCGTTCGTTTTCTTTCCGAGGCTGGCGAACGGCGCAGTTTCAAGAAGCCTAATAATTTCCGTCCTATTCCGGTATTTTTTCTTTACGTAACCGTTCGAGTTATCAATGATTCATCGCTCTTCTGGCTTAGCCACACGCGTTCGCATTAGCGTCGATTACGAGTCGATCGTGCTCGCGGCATGCAGCACCTCGAGTGCTGGCTGCTCGTGACGAACTTTTTCTTCGTGCCCTCTTATCGCGGGCGCTCTCCCGCCGTACGTTCTCCCGTTGCGGTTGACCTTGCCGATAAAGCCGCGTCTGTGAATGGCTCGCGGTCGCGAATGGTGCCGAGCTCGTCCTTCCCGATCTTCTGTCCGCGGTCCGCGGTATAAATAAGACCGATCTTTTTCGGCCCCCATTATTTTGTCGTACGTATCGCGAACGTTCCGCGACCGATAAAGAAAGCGTTTGTTTCGCGCAAAGATCCGCAGCCTACTTATTACATGTACATAGGTACACGCGTACGCGCATAGTACCGTCGCGGGGTGTACATGGCTGGCTTCGGTTTCGCGCGTGCAAGCCGCAGACAATTTCTACACACGCGATAAGTTGTCCAAGTTTCCTCGGCGTTGGCAGTCGACGCACAGTCGATCCCATATTTTGCTAAGATTTCTCCTCCTCGTTCTACTTGCGGTGCAGATGCTCCATCATAATAGTTTCTATTTTCGGTCGGAGGGTTGGCTACACGCGCTCGGTAGGTGCAGATGTTCGCCGCCGGGCTAAAATCGTTTCGGGGGAGAAGGTCGCACTCTCTCTCTCTCTCTCTCTCTCTCTCTCTCTTTTTCTCTCTCGAGCTGCTACGCATTTTCACGAGATCCGACAAATCGGATGTATGTAACGGGGAAACGCGTGAAACTCGAAGAACGCGTTGGGACGCTTTCGAACAAAAATTCCACCGTTTCGTCGACGCGACTAATCGCATATACGAAAATTAGCTACGCGAAAACTGAAAGACGATTTTGGCGCGTGTCGCGATCTTGTAAAGCAAAACTATGAGATGTTCGATTATACTCGTCCGTTACATCGGCCGAAACGAGTAGGGGATAAACCGAATAAAAAGATGAGAACCTATATCGAGAGAGAAAGCGAATTTCTATTTAACTACCTGCGATCGAGGTAGACGATTCTTGCGTCGAGTTTCCCGGTCTAAGGACGACGGTCCGTGCTTACGACGAAGAAAAAATTTTGGACAGGGCGAATCGTTGTCTCGAATTACGCTTCGGACAATAGCGGGACCGTTCTCCTGGCCACTGCCAGCATCGCAGCTCGGAAACGCGATTGGAGTCGCGATGAGAATACAAAGAGAACGGTGCACGGGCGCCTAAGGGAGTAAACGAAACGATGAGCGTAAAAAGCCGGAACGAACGAATCGTAGACCGTGCGCTGTACCGCTGCCTTCGAGCAGCCGCATCGGTTTGTCGGTTTAACGAGGCTGCCCAGGTATGCGTCCCTGGACGGAGCCACGATAACGTCGGGGACTATCGGAACTCTTTGGAAAAGGGATCGAGCAATTGCTGCTAAAGTACTACGAAATATAAATTGCCGAACGCGTCCCACGGCTCTCGTTGAAACGTTTTCAAGCGCGGATGGAAACGAAGCTACCCCGGCCGCGCTCGCAGAAACTTCTCCGAACGCGGAACAAGAAAGATCAAAGTTCTCATCTATTAAATGGAAATTCGAATCTGTTAAGCGCTGTTTCAAGTTACGGCATAGCAATTTCTGATCGGAGCCGGATCTTAAAACCGCGTTTACGTAAGCAACGGTCGATGCATCCTTGAGACTACGTTGTGAAAACAATTTCTGTCTAGCACGCGTCAACGGAACGCGTTTTCTTTCGTTTCCAGTTTCCATTGTCGTTCGTTGGCCGTCGTCGACGTGGAAGACGCCGGATAAATTTACAATGGGAGACGACGGTGCGCGCGTTCAAATTGTAACTAATAACAGCCGCGTTCCGGGGACATTCTTCCAGCCGCCTACCGATGCGCGCAAGCCCGCCGTATGGACGAGAGACGAGACGATTAATTGAATAAGAGCCAACTCTTATACCTCTCGATTCCCGCGGTCTTTGCGCTGTTACTCGGGAGTCGAGAGCACGAACGACCTGGAATTCGCGCCACTCGAAGCTAAACGACGAACCCTGTTCCGGGACACTTTCCGTTCGACGCGGTCCTCGCGAATGTCTACGATTTTACTCTCACCGGTTTTCCGAAAGCTCCTCGACCGCTTTGGCGATTCTTCGTGTTCCCTTCGAAAGTTTCCAAGCGGCGCTCCACCTTTGTTACTTACCTGCGCGCGTTTGAAAACCGATCGCAAAAGCAACTCGTCCGATATCGGGGTTGCGTAGGTTACGGTTGAATCGAAGCTTTTTTTGCGCAACACCATCCAATCTCGTGATACGCAGTTCGGTGTAGCGTGTGACACAAACAGAACAACCGGGATAACGTTACGCTATACGGATATCGGATTTCCCGTTCGTTCCCACAGACTTCGTTTTCTCGAGAAATTCGGTGTCGAGCCGAGATTGAAATTTATCTTCGAAGCCTGTGTTTCTCGAGCGTCGTTTTTAATCGCTCGATAAACAAGGTCCCGAGTCCGAATCGAAAGAAAACGTTTCTCGGAGCCGTGAACGATACTTTCGTTCGGTATCTCACGAATTATCGTTCGGGCAAGGTTCTTGTTGTACCATCGAGATAAACGGGATCGTTGACAAAGCGCGCGGTGCGATCGAACGACAGGGCCGATAAGACCGCCGAAAAAACTGCGCCCTCTCTACGCGCGATAACCGAAAACCAACGCAACGTTTCGATATCTCGTTAAAATAATCGTCGATTATCTGCGATCGATTTCTCTCGCGAGTTACACTCGGAACGTTCCCACACGTGGACATTCCAACACCACCATGCTACACGCGCAGCGACGTAGGCGTACAATCCGACACCGTTTATTCGAAACTAGCTAGAATTACCTATCGATGCAGCGAGGCTCTAGTATGCGATCGATTCGCCCGTTTCGCATTCGTTATCGCGATACCGAGCAGATCCAAACTTTCGATCGCGAGGACGTCGATCGTATTTAAGAATTACGAAGAATCGCCTGCTAAAATTCCGAATACGCGCTCGAAAATGTCGCGGGTAAAACTACGCGCGACAACCGGCGTTGGAAACGGTCCGCGAACGGAGGAACGCGCGGCCAGCAGATTTTCCAGCTCTCCGTTTCCTTTCGCGCGTCTCACTCTTCCTCCGGCCGTCCCTTTTCGACTTTTAACGTACGTGCCTCGGTCAATAATATGATGCACGTGCGTTCATTCACAGAACGCTAACGCGGTTTCAACGAGCCGTGTGCCGTGCCCTGTGCACTGTGCACTGTGTACGGTCCGCTCGTAACTCGTAATCGAGTAAGACACGGACACTAAGAGCGACGCTCTCTCGACTTGCAGCCCCAAGATGACACATATCGTATGCACGAACGCGAATTGCATACGATCGCGTTACAAACTGCAAGAGCACGACCGACGCGACGGTCCCATTCGTTCCAGCGTGCCGGCACACGCGGCCGATAACCGTGCACCGATCGACTCGCCGCTAATTAGATGTTACTCGCGAACGCTAACGACCAACGACGCATTCCGCGACCGCGTGCTACGGAACGGGACGGTTGCGAAACGCGCACCGGTCGTCGAAATTCTATCCCTAATTTCTTAGCGATCGACCGCGGGAACCGTCTTTACGCGGAGGAAACGATTTCTGCATCGACCGCGCGAAAAGTTGTTTCTTTTTATAACAATTGTATCCGTAACGAACAAGCCGATGTTACTTCCGCACCCTTGCGATGCTTTCGCTGCTTCGCGTTTCGCGTTTCGCGTTTCGCGCGCCTGTTATCGCGTCGAATCTTCCCGATGTATCGTACAATGCAATAGCGATCCGAGAGATCTAGGCACGTACGACCGTGCTACGCATTTTTAGACCACGTTCGAACAGAAGGGCCGAGCGTGTTAACCCTCGGTCGAAATCCAATTAACCGCTGTAAATCGATTTTAGGGGCGGTTGATCCGGAAGCGGCGACCACGAACGACGGGTTGCGCCGGTGGAATTGTTTTTCTCGTCGGGGCAACGCTTTCCGTGTTCTAGAAAATTTCACTGTTTACCTTGTAATCGGATCACGTATCGGACACGGGGTTACTTCTAGTCAAAGCGTCTATTCTCGTACGCGGAATTCTGAGCGTGCTCGAGGGCAGAACATTCGTTGTTGCGAGCCGCATCGGTGAGGCGCATCGGCGCGGTGGTGTCGACGAGCTTCTAGCCGGCGGTCGTAATAAAAATAGCTTGTCGATTTCGCATTAATTTTCCGGTATTAGAAATAATCGAAACACCGCACCGGGGGAAAAGGATGGAAACGAGCGCGGCCGCGAGCACGGGAAAATCGCGCGAATCCGCGGAATCTCGACCGAACGAGAAGAAAACGGGGATCGCGTAGGTGTCTACGCGCGCGCGACGTACGCGTGTAGCACGTGGATCGGTCGGTGTCCGTCGATAACCTTACGATTTCTCGACGATCGAATCGCGTTTAGAAATTTAGATATCTTCGACAGTATCGAGTCTATTCGCTGCGACCGCGACGCGACGTATGCGTCTCCCTCGCGAGGCATCGAAGAAACGAGCCTGGTTATTAGAACGTTGTTTCGTGCATCGCGGATTTATGCAAATGCGCGCGAACGAATGCAAAGTTCGCGATCGCTTCTCCCAGTTCTGCCGCGATATCTACAACCGATATCCTTCCGAATGTCTCGAGGGTAGTAGAGATCGAGGTTCGCGAATTGTAATGGTTTTTGGACGTTTCGAAGCGACGCGGGCCGGGTTCGAACCCGTTCCTCGTACGTCGAGCGTCGAGCAGTTGCATAAGAGAGCGTACACGTTGTAGAACGCGCATGAAATCGATTGCTTAATTACTGCTTCGAACGTTCGCTTCGACACGTTTCTTCCAATTCCCCTCTGGTAGAAATTTCGAACTGTCGAAATCGGGGCAGTTGCGTAACACGCGTCGCAACGCGCGAACGATACAGTTCGCAAGCTAGTAGATTCGCAGCACGGATTACAAAGTTGCAATTTACGATCTTTCGTTACAATCGCACGAATCGTTTGAACTGTTCGCGATTTCCCTCTCCAGAAGCCAATATTTAAAATTTAATTATTCGTCTTGTAAACTTTCTACTACCGGAAAACTTTCACCGCTTATGTATCAACGTTCTATGAAAATAATTTCAGAATTTATATCAAAATATACATTTGGATTGTAACAAGTTTTTAGACTGTAATAGTGACATTTCCAAAAATTGTTTTTAAACCGCAGAATTGTTATGGAATTGTTATATAATCACATATTTTTTAAATAATTTGACAGAAGTATCCTTGAGGTGAAAAGTCTTTCATTTTATCCAATCTCCTATTCATGATTTAAATCCCTTATAAATTTTAATATTTCTCTATTCATTCTCTGTGCTTACTTTATTGCATTTATATCGAATACGCACAAATGAGTTACCCGCTTTATCTAATATAAACACACCTACATACATACATACATGAAAGTCAATAACTACATTTTTACTTTACACAAATTTATTAAGAAATAAACCATATGTAAATAGTGGCAACGTCGCAGTTACACACGTTAACAAATCAATCATTATTAAACCAATCGTAGACTGGATAAGTCTTCTAGAAGATTTCGTTTACGTTTTCGTTCTCTTTCTGTAAACAAGGGTCGGAAAGGCGGTACACGCTTTTCAGGCGGACGCGGCGATGGAGTGGGTGCAGGTAATAGGAATAACGATAGACCGGTAAAAATTTTTCACAATTTTTATATAAATGCACACACACGCGCGCGCGCGCGCCCACACGACACGCATACGCACAAGAGTTTTCCATGTTCTTCTCGGCCATGTTTGTTCTTGACTTACCACCACAGGAAATAACAGAAAACAAATTCAATGGATGTAATTGTGTGTATATTGTAAACTTGAAAATTTTCTCTGTAGAAGAAATTCAGAAAATGTTTCAACAATATGGGGATACATCTGAACTCTTTACAAATAAAGAGTTAACTTAGAATCTGTAAATAAAGAAAATAACTTAGAAAATCTAATAAATATTCAAGTTTTCATTTATCTCAGTCAAAAATGTACACGTAAGTGTCATCAAAAATATATTACCTCAAGTAAAAGAGGTTCAGTTATTATTATTCGTATAATAATAAGAATAATTCATTGTACGTTGTATTTTTGTACTTACATATCAAATATTCATATTCGTATCACTTATTCCACGCTTTTGTGAAAACTTCCTTAGTCTTCAAAATCCCATTCAAAGCATTTCTGCCTACAAAACAAAAAATAAATTTGTTATTATATACAAATATTAAGGAAAAGGATATTTTGAGAGTACAATTGTCAGAACACGTTGGGAAAATCATAGATATTCGTGTCAGCGCTGATATTATCAACACAAAATTAAATCTTACTAAAATTTAATTACTGAGATAGAATACAGAATCTTTAATTCCTAATTTTCAATTTTGGATTATGACCAGTTAAATCACTATTTTTACAATTGTGATATTCGGGCAATCGGAATGAAATATCTTAGAAATATTTTTAGAACTGCATATATAATCTGCAATTAGTTTTCGGACTATAAAACAGTTGATTATGCAGCTAAGAATTCTGAACAAATTACATACATCTTTGAGTAGATTATTCTTAAATTTTTTGTTCCGAAGAAAAAAAACAAAGCCTTATTTGTCATTGTGACAAAACTGATCTCGTTTCCGATCCACGTATAAATAATTCCATTTAAGATTTATGGAATTTTCTTAAGCATCTGATAGCATAATATGGCTCAACGTGTAGTTCTAAAATTAACTGTCTTCCCGATGATACAATTTTTGGAAACCTCAATGTTATACTCAACGAAATAGACAAGGAAAACAAGAATAAAATTTACCTTATTATCACATGGTTCTATATTTCAAATGTAGAGATCCGCTTCATAAAGTAATATGCTGTATCCCATAGGTTGTAGAGTTTCAGTACTGTAAACGAATATTACTATTATGGAAAACGCAAAAAGTGCAAGTTGTTTTGATAAAATATTTACTTCTTTGTTACTTTTAGACTGTCACGCCCGTATGATACAAATGATATCAGGGAAAAAACATTTAAACGTAAAAACTACAAATTTAAAATAAGTAAACTTAACACGTGAAGTGTCCAGCCCGTTTTGCTTGCCGTGCCGTTCAGGTCCAGTGTTCATAAAATTCGGAGATACTGTGTCAAATGTTATAACGGGAATTCCCAAATGTTAGGTCCAAAGATGGCGAAGAATTTAATACTAAAATTTAGCACCTTTTGTAATGAATGTAAAAACAAACCACATGACACTTTTTTTTAAATATTATATTCTTTTTCTTAAGCTTCGACTGAACAAAAACCGATGTCGCATGAGCAAAATATTTTTTTTTCACGATCAGTGGGCAAGGATCGACACGCGCGGTCTGTAATATGAACCTGAAGTCTGCAGCCGGTCCCTAAGGACGGGCCGGACCCGAATGGAAAGTTTAACGCCGGACCCTGGGGACCGGCGTGACGTTTAACGTGTCAAGTATGAATATGAATCGTATCTTACTACGAAGAGCGTATACAGGTGTCTGTTGTAACGAAAGAGTTAACATTCTACCATTCTGTATGGTGGGAATATAATGTTGTTGTTAATCTTAAAATTCAAAATCAATATAAAGCTCAGCACATAATTGTTATACAAACAATTGTAAAATCATCTATAGTTTATAGATAAGTTATTTCATGAAATATGTTCCTCGAACACTTACCACTTTCGTTTCTAATATGTTCCTTGTATATGTCTTCAGCCAGCAACCGCTACAAACATCTGCAAAGACAAAAAATTAAATGAGCATTTCACATGATAACATGATACTAATCCGTTAATTCAATCCAAAAATAGACAAATTAATGTACATGTTCCGTATAAGAAATAACGGAGACATTGTTTGGTAAGTAAAACCTGTATGAGTGATTATTATTTCAGAACTACACAAAATCTTAAATTTCAAGAACATGTTCACTAAGTACCAGAGTATCAACTTCTCTTCGATAAATAGCAATGTAACATGAGCGATGTAACTATAGCAAACAAATACTGTAAATATACAAAAATTCTAGCGAAGATGCTGAAGAAAAATTATATCATTGGACTAGATTTTTAAAAATCATTTTTAAAAGATATATTAAATATAAGATGATTATTAAAAGACCAAATATTTACACAAGTTGATCTTAGAACGAAAAATAGATGTTATTCAAGAAATGAACGTGATGTTGGAGCTGGATGAAACGTAAATTATTATAGGATATATATGGAAATTATTACGAGTTCTCCTACCTATTCAATTTTAAATGTTACATATTAAGGCAGTTCAATTCATTAGCAATATATTGCAGTAATTTTAATCAATTTTCATGTGTCTAACAATGTTCAGAAAATTCATCCCACATATGTTTACCACCCAGACAATAAGTAATACTTTCATAAACAATTCTAAAGGTTTTTTTGTTCAGATGGTAATTATGTACAGCAGCCTAGATTTCAAATAGCAAACCTAGACAACCATTTGCTAAAATTGGTACGTAAATACATTTTGGTTGTCATAGGTAAAAAAATACAGTCTAGGCTGGTAAATTTGCACACAAGTATTAAGTTTTCTATTTTTCTTTACACATTCGTATAATAAAACGATTGGGTTTTGCATTATGATGCAGAAATATTAAGGTTCAGAGTACAGTCAATTTATATTGAATCCTGATGACGAAATATACCATTTATGGTATGTAACTCCTTGGATTGCTCCTAACAGTTTTGGAGTCTTGCACCCATCAGAGAGATAAATTTAAATATAGTGGCAAAGATTACAAATTATACAATTTTTAAATTGAGATGTTACTTATTTATAACATCTAAATTGTAAACAATAAGATTTTAAAAATGTTGTCACTATATATATATATACTATGTTCATAATTTAAATGATGAATTAATTTCATAAGTTGTAAATTAAGCAAATCTTTTTGTAAGCTTTGCCATATGTTTATTTCAACGTACCCACCCGAATATTAAAATAGAATTACGCATAATAACATTTTTACAATATCTACTCACCTCGTACCAGTAGATTCATTGACTAGTAGTTTCAAGTAAGTAAGCCTATCTTGTCATTGCTGTCTCTCCTTCGTTAAAAGACTCTTGATTAAGAAATGTTCATTTCAGTTTATACCGTGCATTATTTCGTACCATTGCGGGCAAGTGCGTGTACTCGAGCAGTTGTTTTCTTCGAGAGAAAACATGAACATTTTTTTCACAAAAATGCATGCACGTATCCGCAAATTGTCCTCAAAAATTTTCAAAAACGATTGCGATGAGATCACGATATAGTTTTTCTTAATTCAGTGACATGTATAACGTGTATTACCGTTAAAGGAATTTCGTCGGGGCTCCATTGAGCACGCATAGAGATATGCATATACGTCCTCCCATAAAGAGAGGAGACTCTGATTTAATCTCAACAAATATACAATCTATTTAAGAGCACTTGATGATGCTAAATTTTTGATGTTGAGAGTAATATTTCTAACATTAGTACAAGCAAGTTTCAACTAACTATTAACCTAGTATAATAATTTCAAAGTATGTTGGATCAATACTTTCATGTAGTTTATACCCACGCAATGTAGTATAGCTGAATTAAATCAGTTTTCAATCAGTGGTTAAAAATATAAACTCCGGTATGTAAATATCATTTCGTTGGTTAACGTTCCCCAATAAATTGGAATAAATGATATAACATTCTCTTTTCACTATTTTCAATCTATAGCCTTTCATGAAAGTACGTCACCTAAAAAATGATTACACTGTAACTATAAAAGGAAAATAGTGTGAACGCTATGCAAAAGAAATCTTAATGCCAATTATTTGATGATACCAACAACCGAAGTTGTTTTGTATAATTAGCAGGTGTCACTTTTCCGTAAAAGTGGACATGCAAATGATTTATATTTCTGACACGTAACCCTCTTGAGCCTTAGTAAATATACGCCTAGAAAAAGTATATGAAACTATCTAAAATGGGTATAATCTATATCGAAAGCACTGAAATTTTCATATATACTTTTAAACACGCTTATGTTTCCAAAATGCTCCAATAATTATGATAATTAATAATTAAATAAATAGTTCCTACGTATAGATGGTATGTAGAACTTTATTCATAAAATTACTCTTTGTCAATGAAGTTCCTTCACAAAGTTTCGAGTAGCACAATTGTAAATTTACTCTGTTGATGGACGACTTATTCTAACATAATAACTTTTTATGAAGATTTAAGTAATGAGGATTTGCATGGTGAAGTTGACACCATTAATTAAGCTTAAAAACACGTATGTACGAATATCGATACTGCGGCAGCTAAAATTACCATAGCGCAGGGCGGACCCGTGCAATTTCTAATCTTTTAGAAAGATCGACTATTTATATTTAACTACCGCTGTTGGTCTCTGTCTGGATTAACGCATTCTCACTTATAGACTAATGTGTCCATGTATTCCTACAAAGCAAAAAGTACTACTTCAGAGTATATTACTTTCACTTTGGGAAAAGTAACGAATCAAATTAATTGATAAACTATGAATAGCGACAGTATGATGATACAATAAATGACAAAAATTCATATATTACGTCGTGTTGAATATTTACACACATTCTTTCGTAAAATAAAAGACCCTCCCCTGAGATTTTGTTTTTGTTTAAAATACTACTAATTGACACAATGAATATGCATCGTTTCTACATATTATCGTATTATTCTATCATGGTAGGGTCTACAGTATAGCACTGTAAACTACGTTTTCTTTTCGCCTTGTTTATAGCGTCTTTACATTTTTAGAGAAGAACTGCTTCTATGATATTAGAAAAACCATACGGACCAGATTTAATGCTCCGCGATACACTTAATAAAAGGGCGTAATTGGAAACCTATATGTAGTCGTGTTAATTGTGAACCTTGTCAGTGCCTTAGTGTAAACTTTCAATTTCGCATCCTTTCAGTGAGATGCTAGCAGTTAGTACCACAAATGACTAGAATAAGACATTTTTCTCTTGCACTCTTCGTTTTGCTCGCGAGTTCTACCAAGTTCATTAATATTCTGAGAACTTAAAAACTGTATAAAAAAAAACAGCAGTCTCTTTATTCGGAAACGATTTGTGATATCCACGACGACAGATCTAATACGAAATATATAAAAATCGCTTGACCACCATATATCCACTCATCAATTTGTTACCATACTCTATTACGTATCCTTTCGTTGATTTATCATTTATCATTCTCCCCACCCAATGATAGTTATCAAAAATATGAGAGACATTCTACAGCAAAACGTGTGGAGAAATGATTGAAGAATACAATGCGAACTATTTCGGAAAATATCGTTTCAAACTCGACGTGGAGGAGGTACATAATACTGTAACGATATTTTTTGTTTTAGTAACGTCTCCTTTTATTAGGATAATCGTCCTGACGATTTCGATCATTTCCACCTTGCCAACGTCCACTACCACCACCGCCTCCACGACCACCTCCCATATTACCCATATCGACCCTCATATCCATCAAATCCATTATCTGAGCACGATCGTCATTGTAACCCCCTCGGCTACCACGATCCATAGTGTTATAAGCATCCATGAAAGACTTTGGGTCCTAATCGTCTCAAACGTTTGAGTAACAGTCGATATTATCGCGGTTAAATTGATTGCGTTTGATTCGTTTTTTGTTTTCGGTAGGTTTTAGTCAGAGCAGTCGAGAGTATGTCGGTAATCATCGAAGAAAATGCCACCGATTCCCGTTTAAACGGTGGATACACACGGTGTTTCGTAGATTTTTGATATACCATAAACACATTTCACGGTTCAGGGCGACCATCCATGTTTGACAGCAGCACAGGTCATCGTCAATTTTCGTCAAATCACATAGAAAAGAAAGGGGAAACACAATGTTAGATGTTGCTTTGTCTTGTACGACATTAGAATGGATTGCGTGTAAACACGCGCTAAAACAAACGATATATATGTATATATGTTGTTAGAACTTTGTCACAAATGTATGCCGTATTTTTCGACATTAATTCACCTTATACAACCAAGCAAATGCCCAACATATAAATCAACGACAGTAATTACCATCGATATCAGAGCACCTGTCAGAGTCGATTATAAGAACAAGAATAATAATCCCATATCAGTCTTGATACGCAAAATATGTGGATCGCATTTCTCTTCTTAAAACAGTTTCATTCTTTCCGTAAACCATTCTGATTAAATTTTAGGAGTTGTTTAATCGGTTGTAACTTCAGAATTATGATTCAGAGACAATTCTAAAAATGTACTCCCACCTAAAGTAAATGAACAACATATTGTTCAATGTTATTTTGTTCCAGTGTTTTAGTTCACGAGCACAGGTAGCAGATTATATAAATATTATTATCGATAAGAATTTTAGATGTGGAAGATATTTTTGTATATACCGTGCACATAGAAGTAATTCAATGACTTCTTCATTATATTATCGTAGTTTATATATGCTTAATATATTCATAAAATCCTACAGGAATAATAGTTTCGTTTTATATATAGAAACATATTTTGAACTAGACGTATTTGTAACTTATGTAACTATGGAGTATGCATTAATTGAATTTTATACATGTCTGCAGATTAAGTATCGACGGCAGCAGCAAAGAGGCGTGATCAAGGACTCTAAGCAACCTCTACAGAATACTTATTCCACAGAATTGTACACATCCTTCTATAAATGTGTAAATGATGAATTGCAAAATAGTATGTAAAGAAATATCAGTCACAAAAGTAATGTTAATAACATCCCCCAGATTTCTCATATAAAAGAAAAATCACTTGCTCATCTGTATAAATTGCATATTGCTCCATTCAGAAACTGTTGTTCTATTTGTAGATAAATTCTATTATCTAAACAAAATTGTATTTTCAAATATAGTAAAAATATTTTCTGAACAGAGCTAATTATGTTTGAATACTATTTGGTATTGTTGGGCATTTCTTGGTCAATAAATGTCAAATTGTTACTATGGAACTAGAATTACGTAATTACTGGTGGAGGTTAGAAATATTAAATAGTAAGCTGAACCATTTATGAAAATTATAAATTTTTCATGGAAATATGTATGTTAGTTCCATAGTAATTAACACACCTAATCCTTAACTCAGCTAGAGAAAATAGAGTACAGAGTCTCTTGTTTGCAAGCATATGGAGAGACCAATGTGGCAAAGTATTAATATAGTTTTAGTTAGAATTGTAGCATCTACAAATGCGCAGAGAATAACCTAGAGAAATAATGTAACATGTTTAAATATATTTCGTCGCTTAGGGAGTACTTAAATCCATTATCGAAGCTCGTACTACGCATTAAAAGAATTTTAAATATTCACTTTTATGTACACATTTAAATTTGTTCTACGACCAGAGAAATTTGAAGCATTTGTACATTAGTAACGCGTACAACGGTATATGCAATTTTTAAAAGTTCTCTTCAAGGAGATAACTGTCTTTCATTTGCGATATTCCTAGAAAAACAATTCAAATAGATGGCGGATCGATCGATCAAATTAAATTAACCTGTCTATACAGTTTTCAATATATTAAGTCATTACAAAAATTTGTAAATGCCCTGGTATTTGTAAATACCATTCTGTGTAACAGTATGAGTTTATATACAACGCAGACCAACTAATTGTCTTTAATTTTCGTTAGTATATCTCCATCATTTGTATATTCGACTTCCAAGCAGGCCATAACAGAGAGCTAACTTTCCCTGATATTCTCTCAGACATTCATGAAGATATCTCACATTTCGATATACTCCAACACTACAAAATCAATCTTGATGAACTTAAATCAATCAATTGCTTCACGATTGTTTCAAGCAGGTTCGGAGAAAAACAAAAATTTATATCACAGAAGTATTTACTTTCATTTAAGTGAAAGCAGAAGCAACATAACCGTGGATGAAAAATAACGATAACATTAATATCATTGAAATATGAGTTATCTGTATAAAAAATACCTCCTACATTCCTGTTCAGGTAAAATGGAACATGATAATTTCGATGTGTATCCACATCAAAAAGTATTAATAGAAAAAGTAATTGGTTAAATAGGAAGCTTCGATATATGCCCATTGATTCCTCCAGATGTTAAAGCCAATTAATTAAAATAAAGTTATTTGTATAAAATATGAACATGAAATTCAACATTTAATGGCATTAGGTGGCATTGTTGCAGACATTAGAACTCTGTTGTTTTGGAAGGCATGCTTTCATGGGAAGACTTGTAACGAAGTCACTTCGCGCATTTTTTCCAGAGAATTTTTCGCTAACAATAATGGCTCCTTTTTATCATGCAAGAACACAGTCCAACTCATCTAATAGCTCCCGTATATAGACTTAATGGTTTTGGAGTACCACCGCATAGAGATACATATATATAAATGAAAGAAAATAAATCTAATTTTTTGAGAAAGAGTAAGTAACTGTACTGTCGTGAGAAAAATAAAGTTAAGTGAAATAATTATAGAAAGGGATACATTACCACTGGCATGCCGCTTCCACCTGTAATGAAGTGCAACACATTATTACAAATTACTCTAGCCAATAGAAAAGTAAATAATGGAATGGTACATATGATAAAAAAACTGCTACTAGAGCTGAAAATGTCGGATTAGGACAGGCAACGTATTTTTCCCGAAATATCAGGATGGGATCACGAAGTTTCTGGGATTCTCGAAAATTGCAAGAACCTGAATGCATATCGTTTCATTTAATATTCGCTGCTGACATATATTATCGTAGTTTCTAAGATTATGCGAGAACCCGAAAATATGGAATCAAAATAANCAGGCAACGTATTTTTCCCGAAATATCAGGATGGGATCACGAAGTTTCCCGGGATCCTCGAAAAAGTTTGAGACTCTCGAAAATTGCAAGAACCTGAATGCATATCGTTTCATTTAATATTCGCTCCTGACATATATCATCGTAATTTCTAACGTTATGCGAGAATCCGAAAATATGGAACAAGATAAATATTAGTTTCAGAATCAGATCGTGATCGGTTTAGGCATAAAATTTAACCACGCACGACTATGCATGTGCAGGATATATACCGGGCGAACATTTGTAAAACCATCTGCACCTCTACGTCGCGGAAATTTTATAACTTATGAATTCCGAATATTTTTGGGATTCCGCACACCATTACAGTTCGCATGTTAAATGAAATTATAAATATTGTATGATATTGTATGATAAGATGGCATGAAAACTTACCATCAGGTTGACCATATCCATCGCGATCACTATTACTAACGGAATCGTAGTTCTTTCCTCCCATGCCACCACCTCCGCCGCCAGTTCTCATCGCTTGCTCCTAAAGTAGTATTAATAATAATTATCATTATTAACAAATAATAAAGAAATTTAAAATATCATTAATGTTATGCAAGTGTTATGGGTACATATTATTTCTAATACCAGTCCAGATAGCACAAGTAATACATAATTTAGTTACCTGCATAAATAAATTATTTTCTTGTTGACGCCTATGTAACTCTTCTTCTTGTCTCCTGATACGTATAGCCATTTCTTCCTGTTGTCTTCTTCTTAATTCTTCCTCTCGCGTTCTTTGTTCTTCAGCTTGTCTTTCTTTCATTTCCCATTCTCTCTTTTGCCGTTCACGGTCCGCTTCTCGCATGCGCAGCTCTATAAAAAGATAAAATTCATTTGAAAAACCATACATTACCTAACCAGTTTTAAATACCACTATATGAATAAGTCAAAATACGCACGTTCTCTTAACAATTCTGTTTCATGTTCATAACGTGCGAACTCCATTTGAGCTTCCAACTTTTCTTCTTCCATTGCCATTTCTCTCTTCAGTGCTTCTTCCTTCTGCTTGTAAAGTTCATGAAGCTGTTTCCATCTTGTTCCATATTCGTGCTCAAAACTTCCCAATTGTGCAAACCTTGGCCCAATATCTCGAGCCTTGAAAAATTCTGGATTTTTCCGTGGCAAATTTTTATCAGGGAAACCGTCTACGTCGTCTTGTTGTTCAAATGGTTCAACGACGACTGGTCGTAAAGAACTGTAAGAAATACATTCCTTTTATCTTGCAGAAATCTTATATGAATATAACCATTTTGTTCTTAAATTGTATTCCGTCTTCGGCACACAATACAAATAGATGAATCATGCTTCCATCAGGAATTATTTTTCTCTTCCCCGATCATCTTAATTGGCACTTGTTGATTATTTAATGCAACAAGCGTGGCGTCGGGGTTTAATTTTAATACTTATGATCGTTATAGAAACTTACGCAGTTAGGAAGTAACATCCTTCGGTACACTTTCGTAGAGCAAGTTGAGCAGACGGTTTTCTACAAAACTCTACAATTCCTTCGCCAGTTGATTTTCCTCTGTCATCTACAATAACTATTGCACGCTCGATTTCACCAAAGACACTAAAAGCTTTATCAAGCAACTCATTTGAAATCCAAGGAGTCAGATTTTTAACTTTAATTGTGGACGAATGTGGTGCAAAGCGTACTTTGAGTGCACGACCTTTGCGCATGGTACCATCTAATTCATGCTTTGCTTTTTCAGCATTCACTCTGTAATCCTACAAATTAGAAGATTCTATGAACTACAAATTAAGATAGATTTCAATATCTAAACTTCAAAATAATTTCTCATACCAAATAAATATATATGCAGCCAAAAATTATTATCATTCTTTATCAAACGGTAATTGCTATAATCATATTATACGTAGATAGAGAAATAGAAATACACGAATTTAACTTACCATTCTAAGAAATGCAAAATTTTTCTCTTTATTTACAAAGAGTTCAGATATTTCTCCATACTGTTGAAACATTTGCTGAATTTCTTCTTCGGTGACATCGTTTGTCAAATTTCCAATATACAAACGATTACGCCCACTGAATTTTTTTTCTGTTGTTTCCTGTGGTGGTAACTCATGAGTAGGACCACTAATAGACATAATGCGCTCCATTAAACGATCCTAATTTGGAAATCGATAAAGCTACATTACTACAAGGTGACAAAACTTCTGTTTAAAGATTTTCTATGTTAAATATGTTAGATAATATTTAACTACAAGGTATAACAAAATATTGCTTACATCTTGTGAACGATTTCCCATATTTCTATCACCACCGCCTCGTCCTCCTCGTCCTCCACGCATTCCTCCACCTCGTCCCATGCCCATCCCCATGCCCATTCCCATACCCATACCCATACCCATTCCCATACCTCCACCCATTCCCATACCTCCACCCATTCCTTCAGACATTGTATTATCTATACCACCATCCATAGAATCGCTCATCTTCATCTGTAAAAATAAGTATTTGAATTTATTCTTCAAAAATTATAAAACCTCCTGTTACTTATTCTCAAAACTCTTTTCGTTTTGTTTAACTTGTAACTGACAAAGCAAGTTATAATGTTCATTCGTAAAAGTTCTGATATTCTTACATAAAAGCATAACCTGATAATTCATTATTACATTATGGCTACAAAGAAAACATAAAAACATTTCTCGACATTTAACATTTCACACTCAAATAATCCTTATTAGAGGTCATTCTAAATCTGGCTACGAGCTGAAATATCTTCAAGAAGAAGTTTAATAAATAAGTAAATGTAGTAAATTAGATCAAAATTTATTGTGAGTGTACATAAGTCTTTTGCAGTCAGAGAACAACAAATTATGAAGCAACAATATTTACCACGATACATATATTATATACTGTTCTCAGAAAGATAGTTACAAAATTAATAAGTGAATAAAATTCCAAAATACAAAAACTTTTAAGTTCTAATTAAATAAAATTTTCCCAATCAACTTAAATGATGTATTCTAGTTAAGTTCAAGTATATCAACGTTAAAACTTAATGGTACAGTACCACTCTTTTATACGCATAGCATACAGAATTACAATAATATCAACTTTGATTTCCACGTGTTTCTTCAATGGTCCAGGAGGCCATTTTGCTTCTCATGCGCTCCCTGCGCCATTTTGTAGCACTTTATATGAGTAATCGATACGATTTGGTGGCAAATTATAATACAGGAAAAATGATACGATTTCTAATAAAATCAATATAAATATTCTCAAAGTCCGAGTCAAGTCAAGAAAATTACCATGAAATATCTACTGCTACGCTATTTAACACAGCTTGATAATATTTTAAACGAATAAAACATTTCATATTACGTTAAACATTTGAAAAGACTTATACAACATTCTGCTTTAATTTATAAAATATTTAGGTTGCATGATTGACATATAAGTATATCTAATAATTTATAAGAAAAACAATATATTCAAAAATTCTATCGACAACTAAGGTTTATTGTAATAAGTTGTATAAAATTGGATAAAAATAGTGAACTTATACAACAGAAGCTAGTGTTTCACTTATGAAAAATGAAAGGTGAGACCAAAAATGAAACCCTAAATCTAGGAAGTATTACGCATCATTTCAAAGCAAACATGGCCGACAAGAACGAAGATAATGGAAAACTCTTCATAACTGTGTGTATGTACATGTGCATTTATATAAAAATTGTGAAAAATTTTTACCGGTCCATCGTTATTCCTATTTCCTACCCCCATTCCACCGCCGCGTCCGCCTGAAAAGCGTGTACCGCCTTTCCGACCACGCGGTCCACGATTTCCACCACCCGGCGGATTACGTTCTCGTGGATTATCATTGCTATTTTCTGCAGATGCATTCTGCTGCTCTTGTTTTACACTTGGCGAATCTGCTCCTGCCATGGTCCGTTGAGAAATGACTGTATACCCGTCTCTACGATTCCGCACTAAGAATACAAGTTTCTCACAAGTAACGATCCTATCTCTACCCCAACCGTTTCATAAAACGAACTGTTCACCGTGGCCATCGGCAACGAAGGGAACGAAAACGCGAACGAAATCTTCTAGAAGACTTATTCCGTCTATGATTGGTTGGTTTAATAATGATGGTTAACTCTTGATTGGTTAACGTGTATAACTGCGACGTTGCCACTTTTTGTCTATATGTATAGAGGTTTTAGGATTGGACGATTCTAATGGATTGCCAATGAAAATTCATTGGCATCGTCCAATCCCATTTGTGATGGGTAATTCTCTTACTCCTTTCCTGGAAGAAAGTCGTGAAACGGTCAGGTATCTGAGAGCTCTGCATACAACATTTATCCATGCCAATATGGCAGATATCGTGTTCTCCAGTCGTGCATACTTTAAAATTATATTACACGCAACTAAATATCCTCATTGTGCAATAAATGGTTTATTGTTGGCAAAACAAAAGAGTAAAAGCGATGCCAAATCTGCAGAATTACGAATCGAGGATGCGATTCCTCTGTTTCACATCTGTCTTCATGTCTCGCCTATGGCAGAAATCGCTTTAACGATGGTAAATATTATATTTACATAAATAAAACATTTGAGCATGATCTATTTATAAAACGTAACTATAAGACAGAAGAAACATTTTTTATACTAACCATATATCCTTTTTTGCTAATGATTTATCATATTTTATAGAAAATAGATTCGTTATATATAGAGCATTCGTTTATAATCTAGCAAAGAATTATTAATGTTGTATATAAATTTAATGACTATTTTCTCATTATATTATTAACTCAATATATATACATATATATTGCTTTTAGGTGGATCAATATGCTACGAGTAAAGGTTTAGTAATTGCTGGCTATTATCTTGCAAATGAAACTATACATGATCTGAGGTATTTTAATGTTTATTCATTTAATATATTTTTTATAATTTTTAAATTTTACTTTTTATCAGTGTTATTTTCTTTCTATATAGTACAGATAAACCAGCCCACAGAATTGCAGACAAAATAGTAGAAAACTATGGGAATGGTCTGCTTGTTGTGGTAAATATCATGATATTAAAATTTGTTGAAGATCTTTTAATTATTTTCTTTTGTTTTTTATTATTAGGTAGACAATAAGCACATAACATTCGAAATGTACTTGAATACTTTAAGAGTATCACAATACGTAGATGGTAAATGGAAGCTCAAAGACATAATGGAGTGAGTGAATATTTGACAGCTTTTAATTAACTTACTATTTACATAAATATAAAATTCCTTCTTTTATGCTTGCAGTGTATCGTACGACGAAGGAGTAATCAACACAAATTTCCTATATTTCTTATTGACAGCAGAGATGTACAAAAATCTTGTTGACTTTGACAATCACCTTGATAATATTTCCCTCGATTGGCAAAATAATACACTTAATAAAATTATAGATGGAGCTGCAAAAATACACAAAAATGAAAGCATTTCTTAATCGAGTGTATGCCAATTAATTTAATACATAGAACTATACAAATATTTATCTATATGTGCTGATCATTGATTGATACTAAAAAAAAAAACAATAGTACAATCTAGTTAGTTGAATTTTATGTTTCGTGTCTTATATTTATTGTTCTTATTGATTAATTTATCTTTAGAGCAGTTCACTGCATGAGATACATATTTTTTAATTTGGTTATTGTTAAAAAAAGTGCAAAATATTATGCAATAAATTTCTTATAGAATATACTTTATATAACATTTTCAGTGGTCCCTATGATTCCATTTTATGAAATTAATGACAAACCAGACTTCGTTTTAGTCTTTTGTATATAAAATAATCAGTATATGTAAAAAAATTTTTAAGAATGTTACAAAAGTTAATTGTGTAAGTTGAAAACACTCACCTGTGAGCAGACGGTTTCAATTGTTTTAAGACTATGTAAAAAGTACACATTTGGGTGATTAAAAGTGTTTTCTATTATCTGCTCCAAATGTCGGATAGGAGACCTCACAAATGAAACTCTACGATTCCAATGTATCTACATTAACATCATCCAATCCCATCTATAATGGGTAATTCTCACACTTCTACTTTTTTGAAAGGAAATCGTAAAGCGGTCTGGCATCTGAGAGCTCTGGTACGTCCAGTGGTTCTGCTCGGAATCTGCTCCGAGTAGCGGATCGAAGCCGGGTTCTGCACCCAAGTTCGACCAACTTGCAGTTCCCGCGATCGCTTCTCACACATTGGTCACTGTTTTTCGTTAATAATTCGTAAACAAAACCGTGGATTATATTTTCGCTAAGGAAAAAGTTAATTCAAATAACCTCAGGAACCGCCCATTTCCGGAGTACGAGACATTTTTTGGACACCCTGTACACATACTACAGTATGAATGTATGCTATAAGGTTCAAACAATATTCTTAACCTAGAAAAGAACTAAACTAGTTATGAAGAATAAATAATTATCTTTATAAAAGATATTACATAAAGAGTACATTTTTAGGTATTTCTATTTGAAAGTAAACTTTTCACATTAACATATCTTTGATCTACTATTACAGTGTAAAATAAATTGTAATCTGAAAGGGGTGAAGTATAGCTACAAGATATTGGAAACTTGATACCGCAAGTTAAATTCGTTTTCTTTTATTATGACTTGCTTGTTAACGCAAAACAAATTTGTATGCCGGTAGGTTATCATTTATAAAATTCAATGTATTATAATATACATATAAGAAACAATTTGTTAATTTCCCCAATTTTATATGTATAATAAAATATGTGAAAAGATTGAACGACTTTATTATCATTGTCTAAATATAATAAAACATTGAAAATATTTATATAGGGTCAGCTCAGTATTACAGAAGAATAATCGATCATATGGAAAGAAACATATGTTTGACAATTGTCCTGAAACTTGTTGGAATTCTGATGCGGTAATAAAGTATTTCTTTAAAATATATCAATATTCGAATTGTATATTAAAAAGACTAAAATTATTCTAATATACATTGTTTACTTTGAAACAATGTATGGCAATAAATGATTAATAACATAAAACTGAGGTATTCATTTTAGGGAACTCCACAGTGGATTGTTATTGACTTTGAACAAGAGTGTAATCTAAATTATTTTGAAATTGAATTTCAAGGTGGA